GCCACCAGTTCATGTGTCAGATATGTAAAAAATGATTTGCTTGTGTATTATCTGAGAGTTGCAATCCATCCCATTTTATCATGAAATTCTGTTTTGGTGCAAATAATCCATACAAGTTCATTTCTGAATAAAAGGAACGGTACATTACATTCTATATTGGTAGGAATATTTGCAGCTGCATATGCTATTTCTCGATCACCAGTTCATTTCTTGTTCAGATGCGGTTTATCTTTTTGTGCTTAAAAGATCAATGAATTTTACAAAATTGGAGTAGCCAAGTTTGCTAATGCATTAAGGTGCATTTTTCTTTTCTTATATTGAAAGGCATTGGGAATGTTATTAAACACTTCATTATTTTTACTGTAAAATTGAAAGTGATCCAGGTGTCAATTTGGGGTTTCTTTGAACAGATAGGGTTGCTTATCTGAAATATAAATACATCCTTTCTTATGGAAGATGGTCAATATTAGCATTTGCACATTATTTATTATTTCTTTAGAGAACTATTTGCATATTATAATGAATAACATTAAGTGATATTGATTATTGCATTTTTGTGCGATTTATCCTACATAGGAATAACATGTGTTATATTTATAAGAAATGCAGCAGCAAGGAAGAATAATACTGCTGCTAGTTCTAAAGATTTTATTTCAACTGTGAGCAGTGCAGGCTTGACTGCAGCCACCCAAGCATCATCTGACTTGATGAAGGGTGAGAAAACAGCTGATGGTGCTGCTGCTGTGGAACCGATTCGAAACCCAGAAACTGCTTCTGGGCTGTCACTTGGAGTCACTAGTGAGAACAACAAATCTACCAGCTTGGTGCAGGTTACTACACTAAAAAGTGTGGAGTTATCACAGGACAAGGTGGTCAGGGTAATATCCTACTGCTCTTGTGAAGCTGGCTAGTTTGGTTAGGATTCTTATTTAAATATTCTTTCCTGCAGCTGCAGTAATTGCTTTTTTTTTTTTTCAATTATTGTATTGCAGTTCCAAACTACAGACGTTGATGACCAAGCTGAGGCAGCAAAATCGGTTGGAATTACAGAGTTGAGTGAGGAAGTAAATGGCATACCAGATTTTGAGGATGAAGCCGAAAATGGCAGCACAGTTCATGAGGATGAAGATGACTATGATGAAGATGAGTTGCAGCATCCGGGTGAAGTTTCAATAGGAAAGAAGATCTGGACCTTCTTCACTACATAGTGTTTGTTTCTATCGCTTTATCATCAATGCCTAGATAGTGATGTAGTTGGAAATCATAGACTCGTTAAAATCCTCATGCACTTTCTCCTTTCCCTGCGTATTTGTTGGGAATTTAAGGCTTTCGTCTAGATGGCAAGTCCATGTTGATTTCACCTAGCAGTAATTTGGTGGTTCAATTTGCAACATCCAGATTGTGTTATCATGTATTTCTGAAATAAGTGCCTCGAGCTCTCTTTGGTCCAACAGCTGTCCAGTGAATTAATTTCATGCTCTGGCTCGTTATTTGTTCTGGAATAATCAGTGTCTTCGTTGATCTGGGCTCCTCACGAGATTGCTCCTTGGGACACAAAACTGGGGTTATCGGTGGCTGTTCGGTTATGCAAAGCTTCACCCAGATTGCGGAAGCTTGTTGCATGTTGTGACACGATTTGATGGAAACCTGTACGTGAAGAACCGTATTGGTGGTTTTCTTCCTTGATATTTCGAGGATGGTTAGGTCTCTTAAGACGTTTATGCTAAAACACGGATTGCAAGAACACAGATGTAGGGGCCGCCCTGGGGTCGTGTACTTGATATTCGTTGGTGGCCTTTGTGATCAGGACACTGCTTGCAAATGGTGTCCTCGTAACTGCCCTTTTCGATAGGGAGAAATAAGTAGACAGTCATGAAAAATTAAATAACTGAAAATTAAATTCTTGTACCGAATTAAATCATAACAGATGCTCGGTATTCTAATTCTCGTAATTGTTGAAATCTAGCTGAAAACGTAACCCCCTTGCGAGGACTCCCTTTTTGATGGAAACTCGTCTTCTGCTCCCAGGGAAATCAAATCAATTCGTATCTTTTTTGGGTTTATCAGTTGCTCATTGTCGACGTCTTTTCCTGTTTTCTTGCACAGGTCGAGTTCGCTTAATTATAAAGTCCATACAACAGGCCTTGAGCCTTCACTGACGGATTAGAACTGCTATAATGGATTAAAGTGATGGCGATTAATATCAGTAATTTATTTCATTTAATTTAATGTGAAAGCTAGGTTACTTTTGCCTTCATCTCTCACCCCCGAGCTCGCTTACTTTTTGTCTAGAAAGAGGAAACCACTAAAAAGGCAGTGTAGAAAAGGACCTTTCAACCTGTTAATAGGCCTGCCAAAACAATCAAGTAGAGAGTGGGGTATGCCTCTTACCTCCCACCTCCTAACCCCAACTAGATGCCGTGGTCCATGCTCCAACCACACCGCCAAGGCTCCGGTTGCAGTTACTGTTGTTTCTGGACCTTGTGTTCTCTCGTCATCGCTTCCTCCACCCTGCATCTCTTGTTCTCTAGGAAACACCTTAACTGAATTACCTGGATGGTTTCTATAGCTTTATTCACCAAATGGGCCCTACTAGATTTATGTCTTGCCCTATAAGTTCCAAGTCTTATAGCAGTTAGGAGGCTCGTCTTGTCACTTTCGTTTTGATGATGTTGTCAAGCACTCTATTCTCGTCATTATCTTTGTTATTAGTATTTACTGTGCTGTGTGTTTTGAGCCAAATAGAAATTGCATGGTTATTTTGACACCCTTGATCTCACATTATAATTAGCTCACTTGTCTAGTGTTTTTCTCGGTATGAATAGAACGAGATAAGTTCTTTTTAAAAGCCTCTGCAATCATTATATACATTATTAATAGAGAGCATTCGAGGAGACAATTAAGCCACTGCCTGTTAGGACCTGTATATTATTATTAAACCTTCTATTGTAAATTAAGAGGCTTGCTTGCGAATTTGAGTGTTTGTGGACCTGGGGTCTTTGAGTTTCATCTCTAACTCTTTCATTTCTTGATCGTAGAGTAGACAAAATGCATTTGTTTTTTTAATCTCTCGTTATTTTTTTTTTTTGTTAATGCTCAATAATAAGAACACTTGGTGTGATCTTCAGGACCATTTATAGTTTGTTTTTTTTGTTTTATTTTTATCCCAACATATATGTGCCATTAATTATTATTAGCGGCTGCAAACTAGTGGTTTCAGGTTGGTTCCTTGAGAGTTGTATATTAAAGATGGGACTTGCAGTGCATCAAGTAATTAAAAATCATAATTGCAAATCAATTAGTTTTTTTTTTCATAACCTGGGGTGCTGGGGTTAATTTATGTCTATCATGATTAATTTCTGAATTTATTACATATCTTGTAAGTTCAATAAATAAATAAAAATAATATGTATGTATATAAAAAGTCAAACCCGGTGTTGAAACTTTTTTTCCCCCACAACCATTACGAGGACACAAACTCAAGTGATGCTAATTAATTAGTTGATTTGCAAAGAGGTGGGAGAAACTGTGATAAATAAGTCAAAATAAATAATCATTATTAGTCATTTACAATGGCGTGTTACCAATCATCTGCTTTCCGAAGGTAACTATAGCTTTTTAATTCTAAGAAGTTGGCCGGGCAGTGAAGGTGAATGCTTTTTTCCTTCATTTCTTCTTGGATTCAAACTTCAAATTTTAGAACAAGTACTTGGAAGAGTTTATTAAATGCTGAAATCTAGTCTCGTTCAAGATGGTATGAAAATATTATACTCATCATTCTTTTTTTTTTTAAAAAAACTCCTTTTTTACAGTGATTATATTCTATCTCTTATTAACTTTGTAGCCAAACTATAAAACGATATGATAATTTGTTACCATGTCTCCAAGAAGATGAAAACGCAAAACACAAGTGCAAACAGAGCTCCAAACAGAAGAAGAAAATGAAACCGACGGCTTGCACCGATATGAATCTGGATGCCACGTGAAAAGGGCAAGCTTTTGTTTATTTGAAGAGAGCTGGAGCTATTAAAGAACAAGGATGGGCAGCTAAAGAGGCAGGCATTTACTCCAAGGAAAAAGCCTCGACTACTAACCCGTCTACAAGCCTATTATCCCACTTTTTATAACATCAACGCTCCCTTGTCCTTAATCGTATGTCTCTCCGCAGAGGACTGTTACCGCAGCAGCTCGAAAAGAAAGAACAGAAAAGCTAGTCATAAAACCCAACTTTGTCCTGCATATGCATGCTGGATCTCTTGTTTTTGCATGTACAAAAACAATCAATGGCCCCCCCTACCTCAGCGCTGTCAAAAACCCTAAGCCTTAACTTATTCTCTTCTCTTTAGCCACCTATCCCTACCATAAATTCCCCAACTACCAACCCCCATTTAACCCTCTTTAGTAGGAAAATCAATGAGGATAAATAATTATAGTTCCTCGCACTGTTATTAATTGAAATTAACTCAAATATACGGATAAACCTCCATTTAAATACATGAAGTCTCAAGTCTTTTACTCTTATCCGTTCTGTCTCGAACGTACTCGATACGAGCAATATGACCCCCCCCCCTCAATTCTTTTGTTGCGAGTTACAGTTAAAACATCCTCTTTCAATTCACATGTAATCATCAAGGGTTTTCATTCAAGACATAGAAAAAATCCTTTGTCTATCTTGAAGGATAATTTTACGATCGAATCATAATAAATAAATATTCGCTCTACTTCACTATTTTGTATAAAAAAAGGAAATATAAAAAACTCATTTCGCACTAAAATAGCTCTTTATGATATATGAGGCCTTGAATGGCATTAAACAGCAGTGCGCAAATTAAATGAGATCTTTTAAATAACATTAACAAATGATTATATTTGTTAATGAGATAAATAAAAATAAAAAACCTGGGACTCAATTGATAATGAGATAAGATATTAGGGGCTATATTTGGGTTTCTCTTAAATCTGGTCAGGAAGAATATCAAAGGACAAAGGATGTCACCTATCTTCCCTTTCGCTTTCTGAAATACACTGTTCAAGGCCCCTTTAGTTACTCCTGTTCTGATCCTTTATATTATTGTCATTACTATTACTGCCATCACAGCTTTGAAAGTTGTGCTTGGATCCTTCTCCTGTCTTGCTCCACTACTATATTACTCACCTTTCCACTTCTATGAACAGAAGAAAAAACAAGTGCATGCTCAAAGTTTCGGTCCCTTTAGTGTTTTCTTAATTTGTCCTGCTTTGGTTTTCACCTTGGTGACTTCTATAGAGTGTAAAAGTCAATGGCTATCAAGAGGGTACCATGTCGATGCCCCTCAACACCTCTACTTCCCTTTCTTTCTTCTGTTTCTCTTTCTTTTCCATCTTAAAATGCTCACCTGGGTTCAGGCCAAGTTTCTCGTCTCTGCTAATGTCTTCTGTTAATGTTCTGTTCTAACTCAGCCAGTCTTATATTATTGTTTCTGCTTAATTCTCTTTTTACCCATGATGAAGACTTTTAACATAAACAGTCATGTCATTTTGGTCCTATGCATAATGAGTTTAGGTTTTTGGAGCTATGGGGAAGCAGATTATAATGATGCAGTTCCAATGGAGGAAGGTGAGAAAACAGCTCTATACTCTGCCATTCAAGGCTTTGTAGGTAATTGGTGGAATGGCTCAGATCTCTATCCAGATCCTTGTGGGTGGACTCCTGTGCAGGTACATATACACCTTTTAACCCCATGTATCTTTTTTTTTTATGAATGACCCCAAGAATCTTTACTGTTACATTGCGCAGTATATTGTCCCAATGATCACCACCTGATTTTCTGTTTCCTTTACAGTACGTGATCATCAGAAGTTTATTAAAAAACTATGTAGAGATGAGATTAAAATATTGCCATTTTAGACGCATTTACTATTCTTTTCTGATATACTGAATGAGGTTGTGCCTTTATTATGCAAGCCTGCAGAAGTAAAATTGTCCACTAGTGTAGTTTGAGGGGCTACCGATTAACTTTTGGTCATGTTCTCAAAGCGAAACACCACCCCACTCCTTGATTTAGCAGCATGGTTCGGTGTGATTATAGATAGATTCATGGCCATGTCCTAGCTAAGACCATAAATGGTGAAATTTTCGTAATCCAAATTTACTTTTGTGGAATTTCTATGACCAGATTTGAAGTGAAAGAACAATCTCTCACTAACATTTTTCATTGACAATGTACCAAGTGATCCATCTTCCCTGGAAATCCCACCTGGAAGCTCGAGTACTGTTTTCATTTGCTAAAATCCTGAACACTGCAATTTAGTGACACTAGAGAATAATTTCACATCATGGATCCTGAACAGTGACAAAGTTAAAAAAATTTAAATAAGAGAAAAAATTATAAATACTTGATATTATATATTATATAGATATTTGTTATATATATAGAAATTAATTTGAAATTTATGTACTAATTTATGTCAAGTAAAATTAATTTAAAAATATATTTTTAAAAAAATTATATTATAATTATTTTTTTCAAGTTTTTATATTTTAGAATTATTTAATAATGAATTCATTATTAATTTTATTAAAGATATTCTTTCTCAATATATACAATAAAACTAAGGAATAAAACTAAAATTATACAGTAAAATAAATAGAAAAAATAAAGGAAATTCACCTAAAACATGAAGTATAAAGCATAAAGCATAAAATATTATTTACTTAACTAATTAATAATTTAGAACTTAAAAAGAAAAATTGTAGAAGAAAAAGAGCTAGAAACAATAATAATAAAAAAAAAGCTTGTTAAATTATTATATTAAAATTTTAATATAAAAAATATTTTTAAAAAATTAAGGAACAATTACCCTTTTAATTTCCATTGAGGCTCCGCCACTGATCCTGAAGGCACTCCTTTGTAAAAGCTACATTTCCTTCTCATCTGAACTGTCTTGCACAAGAAGTTGATCGTTCATGTACAAGTAGGGATTTTTAATACGAGAGATGCGCAATTATCACTCCTGTCATCATTATCAGAATTTTTGGGATAGGATTCAGTATTAACCATGTGCATTTTTAGTTTAAAGTCTCCAAAAAATGTGATGCAATTTTTTTTTCTTTCACAGGGAGTCTCCTGTGATCTATTTGATGGGCTTTGGTATGTCACTGCTTTAAGCATTGGACCCATTCTGGACAATTATCTTGATTGTGCTCCAATTGTGGAGTTTAGACCACAATTGTTTGAGCTCAAGCACCTAAAGTCTCTAACTTTCTTCAGTTGCTTTGTGTCTCCCCACGAACATCCAATCATTATCCCTAGCAAGAACTGGGAAAAACTTGCAGCCAGCTTGGAAACATTAGAGTTTCGATCAAACCCTGGTCTCATTGGAAAAGTTCCATCAAGCTTTGGTAGCCTAATTAGGCTCCAGTCTTTAGTACTACTAGAAAATGGATTGACTGGTGAATTACCAAGAAATGTTGGTAACTTGACCAAGTTGAAGAGGCTAGTCCTTGCTGCAAACTGGTTTTATGGGAGGATTCCAGATAATTTCGGTGGGTTAAATGAGCTATTAATCTTGGATTTAAGTAGGAATTTACTATCTGGGCCTCTGCCTTTGACTCTTGGGGGTCTCAATTCACTTCTAAAACTTGATTTGAGCAACAATCAGCTTGTAGGGAGCCTGCCAACAGTGATGTGTTACCTGAAGAATTTGACACTTTTAGACCTGAGAAACAACAGGTTTTCTGGTGGATTGACCAAGTCACTGCAAGAGATGTATTCTTTGGAAGAAATGGCCTTGTCTAACAACCCGATTGGAGGAGACCTTCAGGGCCTAGAGTGGCATAGCCTACAGAATTTGGTGGTCTTGGAGCTCTCCAATATGGGCTTGACAGGTGAGATTCCCGAGTCCATTGCTGAATTGAAGAGGCTGAGATTTTTGGGTCTTAGAGGCAACAGGCTCACAGGAAATCTCTCCCCAAAGCTAGCAACTTTGCCATGTGTTAGTGCACTTTACCTAGATGGAAACAATCTGACAGGAGAGCTCAAGTTTTCTGGATGGTTTTATGGGAAAATGGGTAGGCGTTTTGGGGCTTGGAATAATCCAAATCTGTGTTACCCAGTTGGGTTAGTGTCAACAGGCCATGCTCCATATGGGGTGAAACCATGCCAGCAAGAGGTCTCCTTAGTTGAAGCCAACACAAATTCCAAGTTAGGTGATGGCAATTTTAATCAGAATTCCTATTTAATGGCCTCTTTGGGATTCCCAAGCTACGTCATTGATGGGTTTTGGAGGTTTTATTTAGTACAGGTATTTATGATGGTTCAACTGTTGAATTGTTTCCTATAGGCCCAAGTTTGTGATGATGCTAAAGCCTAGAAAGTAGACCTTTTAAATGTAACCAAAGTACATTAGTTTTCTTTTTCTTCCCCTTACCAGCTTATCTTTTACCTAGTTGTCACCTAAAGTGGAGCTAATGGCTTTGCCTGGTATACAGATCTTTCTTTTGTATCCAAATGTTGATTGAGTTATTTTATTTTATTTTATGAAGATGTTGATTGAGTTTATGTGGTTAGCTACTATATACTTTAATGAACGTGTCTCCCATTCGAGACATAACTTCCATTTACATAGGAAGCTTTGAGAAGCGCCCGATTTTTATGTTTATTAAATCTTCCAAGATTCAAGACATGCTGTCCCTCTAATATCGATCTTTGCTTGTCCCTATCTCACTTAACCAGCAGCAGCAGTTTGTCCTTTCAAAGCTATGGAATGTTTGCAACTTAATTCGGGATCTGGGGATTTTGGTATTTTACTCACTGGCCTTTTTAGGGCATGGACAGCCTTTACATTAACTAAAACGCAGGACATGTACTTGGATTTGCTGCAGCCAGTGCGTGCTGTACTTTTGATAGTGTTGCCAGGCTTGCATCTTAATGTGTACAGTGCTTTATGAACCTTCAGCATAGAGCTGAGACTAGGGTCCATTGAAGGATAAGAGCACAATGTGCAAGTTCTGTCAGCTGATCCGTGCTCTCTAGCTTCTAGGTTGGTTTCTTGTGATCGGGGCATCAATAAGCTCTGAACTCTGACGCCTGCAGAAGAAATTGAATGTTCACACTCTCTTAAAGACTTTTCCTTGTTCAGATAAAAAATAAAAAATAAAAAATAAAAATAATAGATTTTTGAATTTGTCAGCCACCCAAAGTCACCACGCGTCAGTTTCAGTTGCCAGAAACAAGTAATTAGTTATCTAAAGATAAGTGTTTTGTGTATAAACATTAATTTTATTTTCGTAATTTTTATTCACAATCTTGCAATGACGTAACAGAAAGGTAGTGTATACTAAGATTGATCGTGAAATTGTCGTCACCGAGTTCAGTAACTGTGTTTGAACTCATCGTTCCATTGACAGAGCCTCTGCGGCCATTAGTATTATTTCCTACCTTTCGAGGCATAATTCGATGGTTTGTGCTATGTTTCAACCAATCAAGAGGACGTGACATGCTAATGCAGGGAGAAAGCATTACTGGAGACGACCACTATGGCCATTTTCTATGCAGTAGATACGGGCATTCATGGATTAGATTTGCAAGTTCTTGTTAACCAAGCATAACAAATCGATCCTTATGGCATTAACCACCAAGACATCGGTGAGTGGGTTTTTGACATCGAATCCTTCTTCTTTTCTTTTCTTCAAGGCAATCTCATTTTGAAATTGTTTCAAATTGGTTCCTGTTAAATTCAAATCTTCAAAGCTATCCCTTTTTTTTTTTCTCAATTTCCCGTATGGAGTCAGTCCAACTTTGACTCGAACCACCAGCTTAGCAAATCCTGATTCATTTTCCTACAACATGAGGTCATTAGAATGATAATAATTAAAGTTTCAGGGGAAAACGCAACTTGTAGCATGGCCCATTTACACCTCAATTCATAGACCAATTTTTACATTTTAAATCAGTTCAAAGTGCTTCGTGGCTTTCTTTGGTACGAGAACAGGTCATATAGTTTAGGTTGCTAAAGTTTTTTAATATCCTTTATAATTTCGAACAATTGTCTCAGCACTCTAATTAAAAAGCACTTCTCGTTCATGAAAATATATCAATGTTTATACATTTTCATAATGAATCTATTCGATATGCATAAAAAAATGTTGAGCAGTATTCATAATATATAATTTCAAACAATTGTCTCAGCACTCTGAAAAGCACTTCTAGTTTTTTTTTTTATATGCTTTTTATTCAGTTCCAATGGTATTGATTTTAATTCCACCGACTTATCCTGCAAGCTAAAACACCATTGAGTTGAGCTTGTGTCCTTGCTAAAATTAGGGGATACTCTACTCTTTACATCGGACTTCACTTGGCAATTGCTGTCTAAAATAAAATAAAGTGTTAAAAAAAAAAAACAGAGAAGTTGAAATATGAGAATGTCAATTGTCTCGTGCATGAGAGAAGTATCTCCAATGAAATTAATTACTGAGCTATTATAAATTAATTTGTTGAAATCAAAAGTCAAAGATGAAACCGTGGTGGGAGAGGAGAGCAGGTGAAGTTGCATAGAAACTTGCTTTGCTTGAGACCCATCATCCACGCAACCCACAAATTAATTCCAGGGTCCGAAATCAAGTCTGACTATTCCTCCTTTATCGTTTTCTTAGCACAAGTTGTACAGGGACTTGGTATTGAGCTAACCTCTGTTTTTTATCCTATTATTGATATAAAAAATTATTTAATAGATTGTATTTTATTTGCATTAGATCTTCAATGTAATTGGATTTTAAATTTTGATTTTAAAGAAGTTAAAATAATATATTATTTTTACTAAAGAAGACTTGTTTCGTATTTATTTTATATATAAAAATCTATCTCATGACAATCTTAATTAAATACATATTTTTTAAAATTTTAATTAAAAATGTTTTTTTAATTACAATCACAAAAGCCAAAAACTACCACAATGACGATAACAGGAGAGGAATGGAAAAATCTACTCCCAGCCGGCGCTGGACTCCAGTCTTTGAAACTCAAGTTTATACCTTGATTATTCTAAGAGATGAAAACTCTTTGCTTCACGTGACATTAACTTTCATATCACGTGGTAAACAATACGATGCAATTTAACATGCTTCCATAACTACGGAGTTCCACAATAAAATCTTGATCCAATTGTTCATAATTTTTTTTAAAAAAAAATCTTTAGACTTAATATTTTTTAAGAAACAATCGCTTGTGCAGACATATTAGTCAGTGTAAATTAAAAATATGACGTATTGTAGACTATATTCTATCTAAAAATCAAGCCTTCAGACATGCGGTAGGTATGGAATTGTAGCCCGCATATGTAGCCATATACAATTAGACTTCTCTAATTTATCAGCGACAAACGATACCAATTCTCCATTGTTGCTGCTCTCATTAATCGCCCTGGTCAATTAACAGGAAAAAACGCAGATGTACCAACACCGAAATTATGCTAATCTGTCCACGCTTTCTTGGAAACTAGGTATTGAGAGTTCTTCATTCTTCCAGGAAATTTGGTCTCAAAGAGGATACCCTTGCAGAACGCGAACGGTCATTCATGACTGATACTTGCGGAGATAGGAAGGGCCCTAACGTGCACGAACACGTCACAAGATTGATAATGATATGCCCACTTTACCTTGCTAGACCTTCACCGACGTCTAGCCCAGGCTCGAAATGGAATAAAAGCGGCAACCATGGCATAATGGACGCCTGAGTTATCACAATTAGAGATCTCTGAAGTCAGCATCCTGAGAAGATTGGTTAGGAGGTATATTTCTTTCCCCAGCCACGCCATAATCCAAGCTCTAGCTTGTTTTTTAAAATAAAATTGTTATAAGATCTTTCTATTTTTAACGAATAATCCATTTTTAACAATCAGATAGAGAATAGGATAGATAAAAACTTATTTGAGAATATTCATAAAACCAAAATAAATAAAAAAAGTGAAATCAATGCCCCATATTTGTTTTTATATTTCAAAAATATTTTTAAAAAATTTTAAATGTTTTTTATTTTTTATTTGTTTCAAATTAATTTTTTGGTGTTTTTTATATTATTTTGATACATTAATGTTAAAAATAATTTTTAAAAAATAAAAAAATTAATTTAATATATATTTAAATAAAAAAAATATTTTAAAAAATAATTTTAACAACATTTTCAAATATACTTCACTTCATGTGACATCTAGACCATCCGTGTGCTTCACGTACAAGAAAAGGCAAGGCCGCTGCCTTGAAAGGTCAACATAAATCACTGACCAAACCATAAGAACTTGACTCTAATTGAGACCATTTCAGTATCCGACAACTCTATACCCATAATCTTATTCAACGTTAACGTTTACCTGCTCTACGTGTCGGTCTCAATCGCTCATGTATTTATATTTCCTAGTTTTTTCTTACCTAAATTTTATTTTCTGGTTCAGCATATTTTGACGGGCGAGATTAACCTAATCACGTTGACATTCGATATTAGAATTAGAATTAGAACATCTCTAATTTTGAGCTCGGTACGCACCTTCCTAAAACTTGACACCATATATCTTGCCATATGCTAACACGCAGCACTTCTTGTTGTACGTCTTAATTCATGGGCTAATTAAATACTTGATCTAGTTCCCCAAATGACTCGTTACTTGATCAGCCAAGGTTTTAATTTTGATCAAAACAAGTTAACGGAACCCAACTTGTGTCCCATAGGACTCAAACCCTAACAGTTATTTAATGTTAGGTTTAAAATTATTCTGGCTAGCTAGCACTGAGATATTAAATATAAAAATATAGGTGTCTATCATTTTCAGATTATATATTGTTTACTGGAAAATTAGAATTAATGGACCCCATTTAGCTTGTTTTCTTACAAGAGCTTCGCACGCAAAAGATTATATAATACTGTGTATCGACAATTTATTGATTTATTTAATAAAATTATACTATTAAAATAAAGAGAGGGAGAGAGTTTTAATTTTATGTAAGCTATAAATTAAGGAAGATAAATGTCATGATTCACCAGTAGTTTTTGTGGGGGCAGAAATTGTAGTTTATCCAATTATAAAGTCTATTTCCAACACCAAATATTTTGGAGTATTTATTTGGAACCGTTGACATTCAAAAATCAAAGTGAAAAGTCCCATGGTCGTTAGCGTGCATCTTACTTCTCCCGCCGAGCTAGCTAAGCTCTCTTTCCTAAATCTCTCGTTCCCACTTCCCAAGGCATTTTTTATCCCATGCATATATAACACACACACATACAGGCAAAGAGAAATCTCTCTCTATATATATAATCCAATATTGGTAAAAAAATATCACAACTCATTTTTCCTTGCTAGCTAAAACCCTACACAGTTTCCTTTCAAGAACACAATCTTCAATGGCTACCTTTTCATCCTCTTTTCAAGCTAAACACCTTTCGCTTATTAACATCACAGGTGTTCTCTTTATCATATTCCTTCTTGTTAATTCTTGTTCTGCCACAAGACCGGGTGCTACTCTAATGAGGGACGAAGATATGTCAAAGAAATCGGAGTATATAAAGCCT